ACCAGGTTACCGTTTTTTTTTTTTTACCTCGTTTTTTTTTTTTGGCGGTAACCATAATGGTGGTCGAGTAGATCATGTTGTGCGGGGTCGAGAAACCTCACTCCGCGCAACGGGGGATGATCGCACCACGTTGTGTTAAAATGGTCAAGCTTCCTCGAGGCAGTTACACAGTGCTTACAACTGCTCTGGAAGTGAAAGTCACCAGAAAATAAATTAAGTCATACGTAGCTGTCATCCGTACGCAAGGAAGTAAGCACAAGATGCCGAACACCCTTAGCAGGATGCAGCTCACCCTTCATGCGACTCGCCAAATACCTCACGGCGCTTCGCGCTTGGTGATGTGAGAGCCTGGTCCGGTGAGAACCCGGCGTGCTCCGTCCCGGCTTTGTAGGGATGCGAGGTCAATGGTCTAACGACTACGGCATGCACGACTATGAGTACACCCCCCCCCCCCCGCAGGACGAAAATCGGTCCCTCACACGACAAAAAATTGTCGCATGTACCACAGCGAGACATTCTGCAGTATGACTGGAGAAAAAAAAATCGGTGCCCAAACCGTCCGTAGTCGGTACGTCGAACCATCGTCTTGTGGGGGCTTAGGTGTCTTCAATCCCTCCTTCTCCGCTTCCCCCGTCTGCCACTGCTATCTCGGGTGTGCTGACCCCGTCCCTCCCTGCCCCTCCCCTGTGCCACCCTACTGAACCCCCCGAAAGCTCAAGGCTAGCCTCGCAGAGCAGCTGTCGGTAGAGCAACTCCGGACCGAGTTTCGGAGATATATCGAGACTAGGGTGGCCCAAGAGCTGGTGAACTTCTACCTCGACTCGCTAGACAGGGAGGAGATCAAGGAATACTTCGCCAGACAGGTAACGAACCACTCGACATCCTTCACCCTTTCCTTCAGCATTTGTACCCACCGCATGCCATGAGACGGTCGAAGGCGGCTTTAACAGAAAGACCTGCCGTCCGTTAATGACACCCTCCCTTAACCGTGTGTTTGTTCTTTTGTCAGGCCGTAACGATGCGCATCGTGGCGCAGTATATCAAAGAAGGGGCCCCTGAAGAGGTGGGTGTTGTTCTCGTGTTTGTGTGCCACTGAATACCAGTATGCGTCCCTCAAGATGACAAATAATGCATTTGATTTATCTGGTGATGGACAGTCTAAACCGTTGCTCGCATAGTGCGTCGCTTCTATTGTGCTGAGAGCACAACGCAAGCAAGACCCACCCCTCCCCTCTTTGTAACGATATTTGGCGTGTGTCATTGATCGCGGCGGCAGGTAAACATTTCGGGGGAGTGCCGGGAGGAGATTTTGTCGACGGACGTGACGGCGTACGACATCTTCGACCGCGCTAGAGTTGAGGTTCTGACCGTCATGGAGGTAAGGATGAAGACGAGATGGGCACGACATCGCCTCTGGCTATCGCTCGACTGAAGACCTCTCTTGTTTCCTATTGTCGTTGTCGTTGTCGTTGGCTGTCAAATGAGATTTTTGTGCTTCGTCTTGTGGTGACCTCCGTGGCCCGACCATAGCCACACCGTGGTGATGAGGCGGTACGTAATGTTGTGCCGGAAACGTGCTGCCTTGTATTTCCAGCGCTTTGATTTTCGCGCCGTTCTTCGTCCGATATATACCGAACAACGGCGTGACACCCAAACCAAGCTACCACCGCCCAGTCTTGCACCCCAGCGCTGTTCATCGACCAAGCTGCATGACACACAGCCGGCTTTGGTAAGGGATTCTATGCTATATTCCACCTCTCTCTCCGCGCCGTCTCTTCGCCGCCCCTACAAACTTGAAATCGATGACCGCAGACCAACTTCCAGAGGGAGTTCGTAGAAACAGAGGGGTTCCGCCGAATCGCCGATGCTTCCGAGCTAGAGCAGCGAGAGAACCGTCTCCTGCGGGCCGGGGGCTTCTTGCCGCCGGACACCCCGCCTTCGCCCAGTGTGTGACGACGTCCGCTTCCTCTTTCCCGACGGGGCCCCCTATAGGCGGCTCTCGTCATGCTTGCTGGCCCCTTGGTGGGATGGATGTTGA